TTTTTTTTAATTCAAAATTTATAAATTTTCTCCGTGGCACACATACTTGGGTATAGGTAATGGATATGTTCAATTTGAATTCAAATATATTAATTCATTGTACACGCAAAGAGATTCTGAAAAAAAACGGTCTAACTAGTTATTCCCAACAAATTTCTGGATTTGGGAATGTTCAAAGGAATTGTATAAGATACATAACTATGTATTTTATTAGCATCCCTAAAAACAGACATTTTTTTATTTTTGTGCGTTCTAAGCCTTCAGCTCACATTAATGTTAAACATTTTAACTCCTTTTTAATGGATTTCCGATTACGTTTCTTATAACCAAAACCTTTGTAAGAATAAAAACCACTTGTCACTGTTAGACAAACATATTAAAAAAAAAAAAAAATGGGTTACGTACCTTCATCTGGAATAAAATGAAAACATTTTGATATTAATGACAAAATATTTTTAAATTTCCCGATTATGATGATTTTTACCAATATGTTTTAGTGACAGAGACAGTTTATCAAAAAGATTAAAAAAAAAAAATTCCAAAAACAAAATTACGTTGGGCATTATTATTAGTATTTAAATACTCAAATTTTTACATAATAATATTATTTTATTATATAAGTGAATAATATAATTGTGATCAGATCATTAACCACCACAAGTTTTAATAAATAATTAATCATTGAAATATATGAAACATTTTCAAACATTTTTAATATATCTGATAAATTACTTGACTTGTGAATATTCTCAAGAATTTATTAAGAAATCTCCCGAAGTTTTCTTTTAACCTTCTTAAAAACAGACACCATCTTAACTGTTTTTGATCTTAACCCCCACACATAGATTTTAAAAATGTTGGCCCTCCCGGAAATTTTAAAGGATTTTCGTCTCTACTTCTCATAATGGAAAACGGTGTAAGAATAAAGACCATAAGACAACCACCTTTTACAAAATAAAACTGATTACTCACCTGTTTGTTTCACTGGAAAATAAAAATGTTATTAATTATAAAAAATGTAGACCAAAATTCAAGGTTTTGATAAATCTTACTCTTTATTTTTACTGAGACAGAATCAAGTTAAAAATAAACCCCAAAAAATATTAAAATATATGATGCCCAACACTATTAACACTGTGGTCTCGCCAATTAATATATCTCCCCTGGGATAACCGGTTTTTACGCTACCTACTTGAGCTGGAAAAACCATATTCTCCAAGAAATTTTCTCGAGAACAATAAAAATCCCCAAAATATTCTAATGACCCTCACAGAAATTCCTCAGAAAAAAAGTTAATCATACAAGTTTGAGTAGGAGGACAATAATTTATACTAGGCAGTTTAAATTATTATTGAGATAAAAAATTATTAAGTATCCCATCTTTACTCTGACAACTGATATTTAAGTATGTTACTTGAATTATATTTAAACAGCTAAAATACAATTAATTAAATACATTTTTGGAATTTTCCATCTACAGGATTAATTTAACATTAAAACAATAAAACATATGAGTAATATTTAAAAAAAATGTAATATTTCCGTTGAATTCTTGGACTTATTAGTATTCCCTGGAATTTCCTCAGAAATTTCTCAAAATATTCCAAAAGCCCCCCATCCAAAAAAAAAATTCAAACCCCTTTATAGTTGGGTGGGATCGAAGCCACCCATTCACATTTATGTTAATAATGTTAGCTCCTCGGTCTTTTAATAGATTCTTAAACCTATGCCTCTCATAATGAAAAACTAATACAAGGATCATAAGAAAAATATATTTTACTAAATAAAAAATAAAAATGAAAACGTACAAAGATCCTCTGAAAAATAAAAATTGTAGTTATTATTCATAAAATATTTTTAAATTTCCCGATTTTATAAATATTAGCAATACTTTAAACCGAGATGGAAAAATTTTATCAAAAGAATTTTTAAAAATAAAACATAAATATACAAACATATAATATTATAATGTACAATATAATTTGACACTTTGGATTTGTCAATCAATATAGATACTTATGTCCCACGAGATAATCCATGATGTAAACAACGGTTCCGGGATATTTGCGGTCGGCACATTTGCGGTCAGCAGCTTTTGCGTGCCATTTGCGGTCAATTTATTTTTATCTACCTGACTATAAGATTTGGGTGCTATATATAATATTTTATATACTATTTACTTAATTTATGTTAATAGGTATAATATTATAATACTTTTTTACTATAATCGATATAGTTATATACTTGTCAAATATATTATATTTAAACTTCCCGTCACACTTTTTTTAAGCATTTTTCTAAACCCTTATCTAATTCATATACTATACTAATATTTTTCTAATTCTTTCGTCTAATTGTATGTACATTTTTTTCTTCTTTTGCCTTCCATAGTCAAGAAGCTTCTTTCATATAAAAGTTCCGCATTTTCAGTCTCTTTTTTAAGTTCATAAACGTTGGTCTCGGTGTATTTAATATTTTATTAAGTTTACTATTCCAATCCTCAACAAAATTAAAGTTGCAACCGTGTATTTTAGCACTAGGAAATATTTGTGTAATTGATTGAATAGTCGAGATTTCAAAGTCTAATGTAAAAGATTCAGGATTAAAATTTGGAATATGTGTTTAACCATCGAATTATCGAAAATAAACGTTGGTAAACCATTTTTGTTTTATTCGGAAGTAATATATATATCACAGGTATTATAATATTTATTTCTTCGTTCGTAGACCTATATGTATAGTATATAATATATATATATATATATTATATATATGTATATGTATCTATATGTATACCTAGATCTATATGTATAGTGTAAATTTGGTAAAATTGTTACAACTTTTAATGCCGACGATGTTAAAAATGTTAAAAATAAAATAAAATATACGTAAACGTTATCGCCTTATCGATAATTACATCATTTTTTAATAATAATTATAATAAGGTTTTAAAAAAAATTAGGGTATGTTTTTTATGTAAGTACAGTGAATTTTTATTGACAAGTATATAATTATATCAATTAGAGTAAAAAAGTATTATAATATTATACATTTATACCTATTAACATAAATTAAGTATATAGTATATGAAATATTATATATAGCACCCAAATCTTATAGACAGGTAGATAGAAATAAATTGACCGCAAATGGCACGCAAAAGGTGCCGACCGCAAATGTCCCGACCGCATCGGTGCCGACACCGTAAACAACATAGTATGACCTCAAAAGTTCAGATTTGGTCCAATTCTATGCAATACGTGACCTGCTTAATCGTACTATTATGTTGTGTATATCATACCTCCAAGAAGTAACGATCATACCTTGTTTTTATATCATGGGATAACCTTGTTCTTTTTACGTTATTTGATAAAATTTTAAAGACTATGAGGATTTCTCACAATCTCATTCAATACATTGTTTTTTATGTAGAAACTTTGATGTTCAATTAACGATAGGTATGGCAGAACACGGAACAATATTTACCGGATCGCTGCCTTAATCTTTCGATAGCTTAAGCATGAACTAGCATCCAAATAATTACATTATCCAAATTGTTTTTTTTTTGTATTTAACTATCGTATAAATAGCACAATATAAATAGCACACACTGTAACTGCATTCTAAAACTATATCTTTAGTTTACGTTCAGTCATTCTCTATTTAAATAGATACTAATGTTAACATTGAATATAGTAGCACACTGCATATAGTTATACTAGTATGGTTCATTTTATAATAGTATTATATACACACTCATTATACATAATTACCTATTATACTTGATATGAATATAACTGATATATCTGTAAGAATAAACGACATTGATTATGTCCGTATTTAAATACCTAATTGTTTTTAGTGCATCTACATTCTACATTCTACATCATACAATACAGTAACTCTTTAGGTTAAACTTTTAATAGATTCAACAATCAATTCATCAAGTGTTTCAATTATAATTAAATCTTTCAATTTTCACATTTATTCGAAACCTACAGATCTTAATTTACTTATGTAGCTGTACGTGTTCTTCCTTAGTAATAACTTATAAATAATATTTTAATTGAAAAAAATAGGGTTTTCAGTATTTATGATTTCATCAATAAGCGAAAATTTTTTGTTTTTTAACGTTGTCAGATAACTCATTTTTGAATTTAGTAGTATTCATATTTCTGTAACTATCCATAATTTAGCAATCTCAATAAATAACGCATCATTAGCTTGGATTTCAACAACTTAAGCATTTCAGATTCTGGTAGTAAATGTAATTTATTTGGTACTTTAGGAATGTAAAATAAAAATTAGGGAATTAGGGCTGATCCATAAAGTATATTCAGCTCGGTATTTATGAACGAAAAGTGTTATTTTATATTACTAATTATCATATAAATATAAAATTATAAATATTCACTATGTAGAATATTTGATTATATCATATCTATCTTAATCTCTATAGATAAATTATGAGTAGAACTAAAATGAATATATTATACGTACTGGATATTATGTTCTCTAAAAAAAATAATAATAACAATTATAATTTACTAGCAGACCCGGCGAACTCCGTTTCGCCACCAGATTCGTTTTATGTTTTTTTTCGGGTATCCCGACAATTGAGCGAAAGAAAAAGAGCGAAAGTAAATGAGCGAATGAAAAAGAGCGAATACAAAATGAGCGAATGAAAATATGAGCGAAAACATATAGAGCGAAAAAATATATATAATCGTTTTCGCTTTAAATACTGTGTACTAACATTGATTAAATATATTAAGTATACCTATTACTTTACTTATATACATTATAACTATGTGAAACTATATTTTAGGATTCGAAAAGTCCGCGATAACGATTCGATAAGATTACGTTTATGATCATTTGTCTTATCTGAGTCACTGTCGTCGTACCTATGTTGAGTTTGTCATTTTAGTCGTCCGCCGGAGTTCGTGTTACTTTTACGTGTATAATTCTTCGCTAAGAGCAAATAATATTGTATTAATATGGAATACGTACTCAGTAATAAAAATAAAAAATTCAAAATTGTTGATGGATATACATTTAGAGTGGAAAAAACTATTGAGAATACAATGTATTTAAGGTGTACAGAACACCATTGTAAAAGCCGAATGATAATTAAAAGCGAATCTATTACTAAAGGGCCGTCAGATCATTCACACGTGGCTGATGCAAGTAAACTTCATGCAAGGATTGTAGTGGCAAATATGAAAAACGAAGCTATTCACACACAACAGTTACCACAACAAATAATAAGTGCTACACAAATACCAGCTGGAGTGGTGGGAGCAATGCCATCAGTAACTTCAATAAAAAATACACTTCGTCGAATTCGCAAAAGGAACGACTGCGTCCCTACGGATCCAAAATCGCTTTTTGATCTTGATATTCCTGAACAATTTAGAAAAACCAAAAATGGCGCACAATTTCTGTTGCACGATAGTGGCCCTTCAAATAATCGAATAATTATATTTTCTACACATGATAATTTAGACATAATGGACAATTATAGTGATTGGTTTGCTGATGGCACGTTTAAAACATCGCCTTTAATATTTTCGCAAGTTTATACAATACATGTATTAATTAAGGAAAATATCATACCCACTATTTATGCTTTACTGCCGAACAAAACTGAAGAAACGTATATCCGTCTGTTAACAACTTTAAAAGAAATTAAACCTAATTTAAATCCAAAATCAATCATGACAGACTTCGAACGTAGTGCTTTCAACGCATTCAAATATGTATTTCCAAATATAAAACAAAATGGTTGCCATTTTCATTTCGCACAATCTATATGGAGGCACATTCAACAAATTCAAGGTTTATCAACAAAGTATAAATTAGATCCTAATTTTGCTTTACATATAAGAATGATATCGGCTCTTGCCTTTGTACCACCCAACAATGTTATACTCGCGTTTGAAGAATTGTTGGATTCCCCATTTTTTTGCGAAAATGAAGAATTTCTTAATCCACTAACTAACTACTTTGAAGACACGTGGATTGGACGTCGAGGAAGAAAAAATGTTCGGAAATCACCGTGTTTTGATATTATGTTATGGAACTGCTATGAAATTTCCAAACGCCAGGGGGCCAAAACCAATAATTCTATTGAGGGTTGGCATAGAGGTTTCAGCTCATTGTTAGGTACCATATTTTATTTGTTGATAAATTTAATTAATTAATTAATTAATTAACTTGATATATTTTAATCTTTAGCATCACATCATCCATCCATCTGGAAATTTATTGAATGCCTTCAAAGACAACAGAATTTGGAGGAAATTAAATATGAGCAGTATCAATCTGGAATAAATAATATAAGGAAAAAAAAGAAGTACAAAGATTCGGCTGAACGGATTCAAAAATTAGTAAATGGGTACGACGAAAATGATAAATTAAATTTTTTAAAAGGAATTGCCTATAATTTGACGTATTAGCTTATTAATATTTTATTAGATACAACAAAAATAATAATTATTGTCATAATTTTAATTTTTTTTATATTTTCCATTATTTTTTATTCGCTATTTTATTTTTTCAATTAAATGTAATTCGCTGTTTTATATTCAATATTTTGTGTTCGATTTTTTACTTTCGCTATTTTGGAGGTGAATCTTTTTTTCGTTTGGTGATTAAAATATAAAGAAAAAAAATTTTTTTTGTTATATATTTGAAAAGGAAAATATTTATTTCATTTCACAACAGTAATAAATTCATTTCAATTTCCTTACTAAAATGAAGTGTTATTTAATTGTTTCATTGTAGTGCTCTTTGGTAAACCACATTTTTTGTTTTTTGGTTTGACGTTAACACAAACAAAGCGGATGGTTTCCCAACTCGTGAACACGCAACGTATAACTGTCCATGTGAAAAACAATGATTTTCCAAATTTATCCCGCAAACACTAAGCGATTGGCCTTGCGACTTATTAATTGTCATTGCGAACGCAAGGCGAACTGGGAATTGCAATCGTTTGAAGTCAAACGGAAGATCAGTCGGAATCATTGGTATTCGAGGAATACATACATTTTCACCTGCGTACTTTCCGTTAATAATGGTTGCCTCAATTAAATTCGGCATAAGTCTCTTTACCGAAAGTCGAGTACCGTTGCAAAGTCGCGGTGGATTCAAATTACGCAGTATCAAAATAACTGTACCAACTTTCAGTTGCAAGTTATGTGGTGGAAATCCTGGTATCTCCAGAGAGTTCAAAAACTCCGTTGGATAATTTACTACATCATCGGGATTTGTTATTGAATCAACGGATTTGTATGTCACCAAATCGCCAGCAATTTTTGATTGAATGGTGAAATTCAGTGCGTGGACATCATTATTCTTTGCTGCAAGAATTGCTCGTTGACTTAACCAAGCATAATTCTTATAATTCTCACTAATGTTTGGGAAAACATTTTCAATAAGAACTAATTGAGTGTCTACAAATCGGCAAAAGTCGTTGGTAAGAGTAATTAATCCAGATGTCGCATCAACTGGGACTTTTCCATTTCCAAGATCTAACAATTGTTTGGAAAATTGTGCAGCACTTTGATCATTTTGAAGTTGAACTCTCATATTAGTGGTTAGCGATAATGTTTTTACGTTATTCCATAAAGGTGATGCCTTTAGGCAAGCATTCAATTCATCTGCAGGCGTTCCACGGGGAACTACTGGCAACGTCTGCCTGAAATCGCCTGCCAACAATATCATCAAGCCGCCAAAGATGTTGTTATTTCTCCGAAGATCCTTCAGTGTGAAGTTAAGTGCTTCAAGTGATTTCTTATGTGCCATTGTGCACTCATCCCAAACAATGAGCTTGCATTGCATTAACAATTTTCCCATTGCACTGGATCGGGAAATATTGCACGTTGGAGTATCAATTGTGTTTAAATTGAGTGGCAACTTAAGCGCAGAATGTGCAGTACGACCGCCATCTAGAAGAGTCGCCGCAATTCCAGATGATGCTAACGCCAAAGCTATGTCACATCTTGATCGAATAGTGGCCAAAATCAATGAAATGACAAATGTTTTCCCTGTTCCTCCAGGTGCATCCAGGAAGAATAGACCACCAGTATTATTGTCCACCGCTTGCATTAATGTTTTGTATACTTGTTTTTGCTGTTCATTCAGCAACGGAACATTATTTCTAACGAATTCCTGCAATGTATCAACATTGTATTGCAGCTCTCGATTTAATTCTTGGTTGAATGCATCGTGCATCGATCGATTTGGCGCAATCATTCCTACTTCAATCAGTAGCTTGTTTGCAATAGTCAAGCATTGATCCTCAATCAGAATCAATCCTTCATTGTAGATTTCATCGGTTATTTGGATGTCAGGATTATTCGTTTGAATACGCAAGCGATGCAAGATATCTTCACATATGGCGTCTTTGTATTTGTTCCATAACTGAATTGGTTGTGAAGGAAAACATGTGGTGATGATAATTTCGAACAGCGTTCGTATTTGGTACGCATTTGATGAAACAACTGAATCTGCAAGTGTTAAATCCCAATGAGAATCGTTCTCCAGCAAACCCAATAGTTGACATGCTTCTCGATATGTTTGGCATTGGTGGCCATTCACAGTTTTCAAATGCGCAAATGATTTCGGTCCACGTACATTTACTAACAGCAGTCGCAAATAAAAACATTCATCGTTTCTAGGATGAACAGTGTACATACGACCTTATTGGCCTTTTTGGATATCTTTCATGAATTTGAAATGACAATAATCGCCACAGTGCTTCATTAGTACTGACGTATCTGCCCATTTGGAAGTTGCTGATTTCGTCATTCACATTTTCCGACGCAATACCAAACACAGCCATGTCGCTGCCTTTTGTGACGTACTTGCACAAATATTTGATTGATTTGGCCGAATGACAACTCTCAACGTTTGCATGTGTTTTGAAAATTCGTGATAGCAGCGGGCAATATGGTACAATGAATTCATTTCCGATCTCAATCTCTTGATTTTGAACTTTAACTTTGATAGTTCGACCGTTATCTTCTTTTGAACGCCGACGATAAACTGGATATCCATCGTTCCCTGTGACTGTTTCAGCAACTAACGGTCGCGGATATCGTTTTGTGCACTTTCCATCAGCCATGCAAGGCGATAATGGATTTAATGCACCGCACGGTCCATGCACCATCTGTGTCGTCACAATGTCGTGTAGACGGGGATCAGTGACTGGATCAGGAATTTCAGCTGATATGATGTCATCCACTTCATTTGAATGTAATTTGTTCAGCAACCAAATTAGGATATGAGCATGCGGTAGTCCACGCTTCTGCCATTCCGCCGAGTACATATAACAACGTGTGTCACCAAAAACTCGATACTTAGTAAGCACATCCATCATAACCTTGAGTTTTTGCTGAAATACTCTGGCGATTATGTCATGGCGATCTTGCGGTTTTTGACCTGGTTCCAACTCGCGTTCAATTTCCGTCCACTTCGGATTGCATGTGACCGTAATAAATAAATCCGGAGTTCCATAATTTCGCACGTACGTCATAGCGTCTTGAGCGTATTCGTGCATGTGGCGTGGGCTTCCGATATAAGTTGATGGGAGAACCGTCAGTCGTCCAATATTCTGAACATCACCATCTGAATGAATAGCATCACGCAAGTGTATATAGTCCTCAGATCGTAGCTTTGGCTGATTGAATCTGATGAACGCTAAACGTTCGGTCTCGACTTTGACATACATTCGAATTTTCCAGAATTTTCTTTGCTATAAACCTCACGGAGCCCAAGACCTTTCCAACGAATGCAAAACCGTGGAAATCGGTTCGTGCGTTCTCGAGTTATAGCGTCAGGGAGGAAAACCGGACTTATTTTTATATAATAGATTATTTATGCGATACAGTTAATTGATCTACCGTAAAATCATAGATACAGAACAATAAAAATAAACAATGATTTTAAAATATTCAGTCAAATAGAATAATTTGAAATCGATCGAAATATTGATGAATTATAAATTTGAAAATTAAGGTTTATTAATTTTTTTCTGTAGTTTGTGTATCCAGAGTCAAAATATTGTTGTAGAAGATGAACAGGTAATAATAGTTATAGCTCATATTGGGACGACAAGCAATAACTGAACGGATTCAAACCTACAACGGTACTCGATGATTAGTTAGTTATTTCAGGACGGTTATCATTACAAAAGTAAAGAGACGCAAATCATATACCTAACCTTAATTAAACACACAAGAAAAAATACAATATATTCACGTACTTGCATCATTCTCTATATATAAAATAATAAATATACTATTTAATAAATTACAATATATACCTTAAAAACCTTTAGAAATAATTCATAATTTATATGAATGAAGATAATACCTACTATGCCCTTCTACAAAATATGTAATTACGTAAAATATTACAAGGATCTACTGATGAGATTCGAGCATAATATGTATGATTTAAATGTACCTTGATGATATTATAATAATATATCATAGATACCTATCATAGTATAAACAAACAATATGCAAAAAATAAATAATAAACATATACATTCATATTACTTCTCGATATCATAGATGTAAATCATGGGGAGAAGGAGGGCCGAAAACACAAAAAGTAAGATCTTGAGTTAATAATATAATAAGAAGACTAGGGATCAAAAAAGGAAGGAGGGCTAACTCATTAAGTTAAAACTGTCACCACCTCCCCAAGAAATTTTAATAGATTTCCAACTGTAGGTACTTATTGTAATGGGGGACGTTAAATATATCATTAAAGAAAAATTAAACTGATTACGTACCATCTTCAGCTGTTATAAATTAGAAATTTTAGTTATATTAATAAAATATTCATAATATTGTTCTGATGAAAGATCATGGATTAAATAAAACATAATAATCACAGGGAATAAAAGTAATATTTAATTATAATGAGTAATTTCTAAAAGTTTTTTAGAGTCCTAAAAATTGAATGCAGGTATATAAAGAAAATAATTCACATCACTCATCTAAATTGTATTTAATATAGGTCATATAAACACTGGATTAAACTGTGTACACATTTGAGGTTCATCTAATATATTATCTATAAAATAAATGATTACTAAAATAAAATCAACTTACGAGCATCTAGAAATAAAATACCCGGTAATAATTTATAAGTATATGTATATAATAATATTCATAATAAATTGTTATAATTATTGAAGAAAATCAAGCAATTTATTTAAATAGCGTGTTCAATGAATTTACATTTTTTTGCATAAGAAGCCCAATTTTGATATATTGATTTTGGTAGAAATAAAGAACAAATTAAATTTGATTTTAATTAGCATAGTAATTTCTTAGTTTATAATTAAATTCTTTATAGTTTATTTTTACTTTTTGTAATATACAACTTGTTTTATTTTCCAATTTTTATAAAAATAAAAGTTATAATAATTTTAGTCCCTATATACTATGACCGAATGTATCAAAAATATGAAGATTCAAAACATGTTTAAGGAACATTGTTAAAAATATCATTTTTATTGTTATGTACATACTCAAATCCTATCATCACCTATCATCGCATTGAAAACATTACCGGTATTGCAATAAATAACCAAGTCAGGAATATATAATACCTACACACAATAAAGCTGATTAATTATCAAACAATCGTGAAAGGTCTCCCTAACCTATAATTTCTTGATTTTTAAAAGTTTATTTTTTATAATTTTAAATTGATAAAAATAAAAATTTAAAGAAATAAAAAAAATTTCTATGTTATTGTATCACGTAACTTTAAAAAAAGTGCATGTTGCGAGTAACCGCGGATGATGTGAAAAAAAAACCGTCACAGTCAGCCGTCATGACACACACATTTATATAGTTTGATGTTAGTATATTAAAAATAAAATAAAATCAAGAAAAAAATAAATACAGTTTACTCCTGATTATCCGTGGAATTGGGTGGCAGGACATCCACGGATAAATGAATTCCGCGGATAATCCGCAAAATTAAATTTTATAATAAAAACTAAATTGGAAATTGAAATTGAAAATTATTATTACATATGTATTATTAAAAAAGATACACATGTATATACAATGAATGTATGTACATGTATAATGAAAAATTAATAAAAATTACAAATTATTTATGTGCAAAAAATCAGTCACAAGTTGTTGTTTCTTTGTTTGAAAACTCTTCTTTTTAACTTGTGATTGAAGATTTTTTAATAACATTTTGTCACACAGAGTTGTATAGTCTTGTTCTTCTAGATATTTAATGATCCCGTCTATATGTTTTAGAGCTGCTTCATGGCTCACTTGCTTTACTTAATTTACTTCATCGTTTTCTTCTTCTTCACCTCACTTTCCGAAACTGTACCTAATGCTCCACTTACTATTTGTTCATCATTAAGACGCTCAAATCCTGGATCATTGGCATCACAATTTATCCACTCATTAATGTATATTTGTTTGTATACATATAGGTATGTTGTATGTAGACGATTCCGGGGAAGACAGCGGATAATCCGCAACGCGGATAATCGAGAGTAAACTGTATATAAGAAATAAAGTTAGTTTCAAAATCGGAATTGAACCCACAACAACGTGGAAAATAGCTAATGGTATTGACCATGACGTGTCTTGCCGTGACACTCAGATTTGACAAACAGTTATTTTCGCACCCTCTGTAAAGATGTTTCATTTAAAAAAATTAATTTACATTTATTCAGTAGAAGACCAATTTTTAAATATGTATAATAGATTTTGGTGAAAATGAAGAACAATTAAATTTGATCTTAATTTGCAAACTAATTTCGTAGTTATTAGTCAAAGTGCATACTCAAATGTTTTCGCTTATCAATCACATTGAAGACATTACCGGAATTTCAAGAAATAACCAAGTCAGGAATATATAATACCTACACACAATGTAGCTGAACAGTTATTAAACATTCGGGAAAGGTTTTACTCATCCATAAATAATTGCTTTTGAAAAGTTTTTTTTTATGGTTTTAAATTGATAAAAAAACTATAATGAGAAATAAAAATATGTCTATGTAATTGTATTAGGAAACTTTAAAACTTGCGTGTTGAGAGTAACCTTCATTATAGAGAGTACGAAAAAAATCCGTCAGCCGTTACGTCAAACACATTTCTATAGTTTGATGTATGTATATTAAAAATAAAATAAAAGCAATAAAAATATAAAAATATAAGAAAAAAAAGTTAATTTAACAGACTCGAATCGAACCCCCAACGAAGTGGTAGATAGCCGTCGGTACAGCCTACGGTATGGTACTCCGGCCAGCCTAAGAGCCCCACTCCTTCGCGCATCCAACTGATTGAGCTCCGGGGTTTCGTACCCAAATTTATCCCACTCTACCACCTAGTTGCAGCCGTAAATACCCCCACTCAGTATGTGGTCGGCGGTAACGTAGGTGAGTGGGATTAGTGACGGCGACAGTATCGGAGGCTCGCATTGACGGCGGCCAGTGTTTTGGAGAGTTATAGGTGGGAATGGGGGAGAAGGGACGAATTTTGATCGCCGCCCAGAAGCGCTCTTATTCCAGCCGGACTACGGTATCTGTAGGGCCGTGACACCCAGCTTTGACAGTTATTTTCGATAGTAAAGTTTAACTTCAAAAAACAAATTATAAAGATCGACGAAATAAAATAAAAATGTTGCATACCTTTATCTGAAAAATAATAAAAAAAATTAATCATATTCTTATTATTTTTCTAAAAATGTTTAATCAAAGGCCCAGGGAGAAAAAAAGCTGTCTATATATATATTAACACAATTTGTAACGAGACAGAACTATCTACTTATAAGTTACTCCAATTAACTTATATTCGTGCAATAACTGGCGCTCGCATTGTACTATTAATGGAAAATGTGTGTGTCGTCGCCGGATGAGCACCAAAGTGCCGCTAGTCGACCAAGAATGAACTATCTATAGTGTCCGTCGTTCGAGAACAGACGCACACTAGATAGCATGAAATGCGATCACGTTTACAACATGTCAATACCCCCCTTTTTATTAATTTATATGCAAATATGACGATATCTATATCGTCCCCCTAAACCCTTACTATCAACAGTACATCACGCCTGTACGGAAACATA